ATTATGTTCCAGACTCTACTTTTGGCTTGTAAAGTCATCTGGGCCATGTTATTCAATCTCTCTGTGCCTTGGTGGCCTCATCTGTAAAGTGTACCCATGGTCTCTTCAAGAGATTGTAAAGCTAAGGGGATGGTGTACTTGAACTTCCTCAGACTCATATGTCCTGTACGTGCAAGCTGTGGGTAGCTGACGTGTTGCCAGGGCGCCCTGCAGGAATCGGAATGCGGAGTGAGCAAAACCTCACTCTTTGCATAGGACGTTGCACACTTATGAAGTTGAAGGTTGATTTTTCATTTTTAGAATAAGTTTGATTGTTTTCTTTTAGGAAATTAATTACATGGGGATCTTTTTTTCTCCCCTCCTCCTTCAGAATTAAAGCTTTTTATAGTTGGTGTAAAGAGTAGCAACAAGGAAACACATTCTGGTCCCTCTGCTTTAACCTTCAGATCTTCTGTGTACAGAAACCCTAACTTTAAAGTAGCCCTTTCTGGGGCGCCTGGGTGGCTCAGTCAGTTAAGCGTCTGCCTTCAGCTCAGCTCATGATCCCAGGGTCCTGGAATCAAGTCCTGCATCAGGCTCCCTGCTCAGTGGAAGCCTGCTTCTCCCTCTCCCTCTGCCTGCTGCTCCCCCTGCTTGTGCTCTCGCTCTCTCTCTCTCTGTCAAGTAAATAAATAAAATCTTTGAAAAAATAAAAAAAATAATAAAGTAGCCCTTTCTAAGATGCAGGGAAGGGAGTGAGGTAGAAGCCCAATGGGACAGCCTACAAAAGGATAGCTTCTCAGAGGAGAATCAGATATCAGAGCAGGGACCAAAAAGGAGAGGAATTTCATAAAGCAAATAATATTTCAGAGTACACATCACTCTTAATGACGAAAAACTCTTCCCATTTATTCTTTTTGAAAAACTGCTGTTTATTTTTTTAAGTATTTGAGAGAGAGCAAGAGAGAGAGAGCACAAGCAGGGGGAACAGCAAGCAGAGGGAGAAGCAGACTCCTGCTGAGCAGGGAGCCCGATGCGGGGCTCGATCCCAAGACCCTGGAATCATGACCTGAGCTGAAGGCAGACATTTAACTGACTGAGCCACCCAGATGCCCCGAAAAGCTGCTGTTTAAGAAAAGCATCCCGAAAGAGAAACTGTACAGCCAGTATATAGGCCTTAATTTCTGCTTCTGCATAATTGTTCCTATAGGTCTTTCAAGTTTTATTCAAGCCAAGGATGGTGAGAATCAAGAGCACAAATTAGATTTTTTAAAAATCTGTCCATACAACAGAGAGGTTCCCCCTTACCTAACCATGGCTAAAACTGTCCACTTGGTGACAGTATCCACAGAGAGGTCAAAAATCCCACCCATGTTTATGACATCTTGGTTTCTTAATGCCTGCTCAAGAGTTGTTACAACAGGTTACTAGTCAGTTCAACAATAACAAGAAAAACAACCCTATTAAAAAATGGGCAAAGGACTTGAATAGACATGTCTCCAGAGAAGATATGCAAATAGCCCGTAAGCACATGAAAAGATGCTCAAGATCACTAATCATTAGGGAAATGCAAGTCAAAACTATAGTGTGATACCACACTATACCCATTGGATTGGCTATTATCAAAAAGAGAAAAAAATAATTGTTGGCAAGGATGTGGAGAAATTGGAACCTTTGTGCACCGTGGGTGGGTATGTAAAATGGCGCAGCTGCTGTGGAAAAACAGTATGGTGGTGGTTCCTCCAAAAGTTAAACATAGAATTATGGTATGATCCAGAAATTTCACTTCTGAGTGTATGCCCAAAAGAATTGAAAGTGGGGTCTTAAATAGATTGTACACCTATGCTCATAGCATCATTATTCACAGTAGCCAAAAAATGGAGGGTTCATCAACTGATGAATGGATAAACAGAAGTGGTGCATACATACATTGAAATATAATTCAGTCTTAAAATGAAAGGAAATTCTGACACAGGCTACAACATGGACAAACCTTGAGGACATTATGCTAAGTGAAATAAGCCAGTCACAAAAAGGACAGATTCTGTGTGCTTTCACTTCTATGAGGTACCTAGGGTAGACAGATCCATAGAGACAGAAAGTAGAATGGTGATTGCCAAGGGCTGAGATTGAAACAATGGGGAGTTGGTGTCTATTGGGTACAGAGTTTCAATTTGGGAAGATGAAAAAGCTCTAGAAATGGATGGTGGTGACGGTTGCACAACAGTGTGAATGTGCTTAGCACCACTGAACTATTAAAAGGATTAAGATGGTAAGTTTTACGTCACATATATTTTACCACAATAAAAAAAAAATAGGAATTTGGCAACACTAATAGCTAAGGGCCAGGTTCCTCCCACTCTGTCCCTAAATTCTCACAGATCCAGCTGATGGACGACGGCAAGCTTCCCTTGCTTGTAGCTTGCTTTTCTCTGCTGACGAACAGAAATGCTTCAGCCGGGTCCCCATCTCCAAGGTCAGGCCTCTGTGCCCTTGTTCTTAAAAGCACCTACTTGAATTCCACACGCTACCATGGCACCTTTCCGAGACAGCCTGGGCCCAAGGGCTGTGCCCACCTCCTCTCACCGAGCCTGTTCCTGTTCTGATGGAAGAGCACCTGATCCCTGATGTTAATGCTGGGGGCAGTAGCTCTTGTGAGAACAAAGACCCCTGTTCTCCCACCTGCTCTGCCCCATCCAAGAAGCTTTCTGGGAGGTTCCCGAATTGATATTGGTGTTTGAGGAGACAAATCTTACCAGGGAATGAGACTCCTATCTTAGAATGGCCAGAAATGAAGTCGCCACAAATGATGCTAAATCCCCGAATTACAGATAACAAACCCATTTATGGGGAATGAAACGAAAGAGAAACTTCATCTCACTCTGTGGCTGCCCACTTGATCTTATCATCTACAAGCCACGAATGGTGTTAGCAAAGGAAGCCCTCTCTCCCCTAACTTACAGCTCTAGGCTCCTCTGATGAGCACAGCAACAAGTTGGCAAGAGTTGAGTTCTCCTTGGAGGAGATGGTAGAGGCATGGCGGCCGAGAGCCCTCTCCCGCCCGCCCGCTCTCAGATCTCCGAGCACCTAGCCAGACGACTGCAGCGTCACACTGAGTCACTGCTGGACAAGGAAAGGCCATGGCAATCCGGATTTCCAGCGCTAGGAAGCGCGGGCATGCCCTCCTGGGCGTTCCTTTCAGTGCCTGTGGTCAGGCCTGAGGCCACACCAGGGATCTGCTGCACACCATGGATCCCATGGTTGGGGGGGGGGCCCAAGGCCAGTGTGAACGAGCTGTCCCCCCGACTGTGGGCTAAGACTGTTACCCTCCCGCCACCGCGCTGATCACATTTGCCTTGTGCTTCTGTTAGCCCGAGAAGCTTTAGCACAGCCAGTGCGGGAGGGAGAGTACCAGAGACGCAACTCCCACGGCCAGGGGCGGGCAGCCCACGGCACACAGGTGTCCTGTGGCTTCGATCAAACAGCCAGGCAATGGCAGGTATGGCCCAGAACCCAGCTGTCCTGCCTTCCAGACTGTGGCATTTTGAGGGGAGCCCCGAGCCCTCTGGGCAAACAGCGTTTACGCGACTGGCAGTCTCTGGCCACCTCTGCTCCTTGGAGGGTTTCTCGGCCACAGCTGTGGACAGACAGCATTGTCCCGGAGGCTGTGGGAGTGTTCTAAAGCAGAGGCCCAGGGAGGCAGCCCCTGAAAGGCCGAGCTGCAGCTATCTTGTGCTAAGTAAACGGCTTAAAGCTATAAAGCAGGAAGCAAATTAAGAGCCCGTAAACCGTCAAACCCTGAGGCCCGAGACGCAAATGGATGTGTGCAGGCTGGCTTCGCCGAGGCCTCTGCCCCTGCCCTCTTGCCGGCTGCCTCCTTTATGCCTTCCTTTGAAAGGACCCCTGCTTTACTACACAGCTCCCTTTGTCATCCCAGCAACTGGAAGGCTGGCCTTTTTTTTTTTAGTTTTGTGTGTCTCATAGTTGTTTTTTAAAGGGAAAAATCTGATTGTAAAATACACATAGCATTTCCATCTTAGCCATTTGAGGTGTCCAGCTCAGTGGCCTTAAGTACATTCACAGGGTTGTGCGACCATCTCCCCCATCCATCCAAAGAATTTTTTCATCTTCCTGACCCGAAGCTGTGTCCCCATTAAACAGGAGCTCCCCATCTCCACTCCCCCAGCCCCTGGCCACCAGGATTCTACTTTCTGTCTCTGAATTTGATCACTCTGGGTCCCTCATAGAAGTGCGATTGGAATGGTACGGTATTTGTCCTTTGGTGTCTGGCTTATTTTACTTAGCATCATGTTGTCAAGGTTCATCTGTGTTGCAGCCTGGGTCAGAATCCCTTTCCTTTTTCCAGATTGAATAATCTCATGGTATGTGTAGACCACATCTTGTTTCTCCATTCACCCGTTGATGTATACTGGGTTGTTTTCATCATTTGGCCGTGTGAATACGCTGCTAGGAACATGGCTGAATGGCTGTCTCTTCAAGACCCTGGTGCCCTTTGGACATAAACCAGAGGAGGGATTGCTGCACTGTATTGGAGTTCTTTTCCTCAGCCACTGCACCATTTTCCCACCAGCAGTGCACCCGGGTTCCAGTTTCCCCTGCCCTTGTCCACACTGTACTTTTCAGATATTTTTCATTGCAGCCTTCCCAGTGGGTATGAGGTGATGCTAGCCTTGCCGAAGTCAAGTGTCTGGGACGTGTGATAGGATTCTAAAGAGAGTATACATCCCAGCTGACATACTTAGACAAGTCCCTGATGTCAGCCAAACACACATGTGTGCTTGTGAGCCCACACTTGTGCGCACACGCACACACACCCCACCACCCTCTCATCCGTGCCCGAGGGCCTAGCCCGGGTGCCTCTCAGGTCCGCAGGTGACAAGTGATGGAGCCCCAGGGGGCCCTGCCCAGTCCCACTGGTGAGCCTCATTTGAAGGGAGCATGTGTGCACTGCTCTGTCATGAAGACAAAGGTCTATCCGTGTGTGTATCTCTTGTCTCTAGAACCACGACCATGCCTGCATCGCCTGCCGCATCATCCACAGGTCAGATGAGCACCGCCCGCCCCTCCTGCCCCCCAAGGCTGACCTGACCGTCGGCCTGCACGGCGAGTGGGTGAGCCAGCGCTGCGAGGTGCGGCCCGAGGTCCTCTTCCTCACGCGCCACTTCATCTTCCATGACAACAATAACACCTGGGAAGGGCATTACTACCACTACTCTGACCCTGTCTGCAAGCACCCCACCTTCACCATCTATGCCAAGGGCCGCTACAGCCGGGGGGTGCACTCCTCCAGGGTCATGGGAGGAATGGAGTTTGTGTTCAAAGGTAGGGCTCCTGCCTCGACTCCCAAAGTAACAGCCCAGTGGCTGAGAAACTGAGCAGTTTGGGGACCTTTTTGTCCAGGCAGAGCCTGAGGGAAAGCGGTGATGTTGGGGGAGAAATTAGGGAGTCCTTTCTGCTTCAAGGTCATCGTTCACATCAGCCTTCAAGGTTCCCCTCTGCTCAGAATGGGGCCAACAGGGGTGGCTCAGCCCTTGGGCCACAGTGCGGGAGGGCCCACACTGTTATGCATGGTGTCAGATGTGGCCGGGGAGTATGTGACTAGGAATGAAACCTCACACCTGCACCTTTCCTATTTATTTATTTGTTTGTTTGTTTGAGAGAGAGCACAAGTGGGGGGAAGGGAGAGGGAGAAGCAGGCTCCCCACTGAGCAGGGAGCCCGACATGGGCCTCGATCCTGGGACCCTGGAATCAGGACCTGAGCCGAAGGCAGACGACGCTTAACCTACTGAGCCACCCAGGTGCCCCTACACATTTCCTTTTTTGTGCACCGCTCAGGGTGATTCTGAGCTGCCCCTGTGATAACACCACACTTACTTGCCGCATTCAGTGTGCTTTCTGGAGTGGGCAATAAAGAGCAGGTGTTAGTTACACCTCAGGTGCTCAGCATTGTCCTTTCCAACACCGAGTTTGTCATGCACTTGAAAGTTGTCCTGTGCTTGGAGGTGGGAGGTTGGGATTTGTAATGATGACCTAAGTGAGGAACGTAAGGGGTGAAATTCACCAGGCTGTTGTCAGCAAGGGAGGTTTTGTGGCTTCTTTTTCTAGAATTTCTTTTTACACTTACACATCTTTTTAAGATGGTGTCAGTCATGCCACAGACAAATGAGAGGTGGCTCAGAGACTGGGTATGACCCCTTCTAGGATAGCATTCCATGGTTCAGCCTATTTAATATGAAGTATTTTTGATAACCCAGATAAGACCTAGGGCATCTTAATCCTCCACTTAGGAAGGAAGATTTTCTCCAGGAAGGATGGACCTTTGCTAGATGTGGCCAAGAGAACAACCATCTTGGTCTGGTTCCACGCCGAAGCTGTCGTGGAATAAAATAAAATTCAGTTCCCTGGGGTCCTTCAGAAACAGCCCTCTATAAGTGCTGGGATTTCTATTTAATACATTCACTGATATTTTTCTTGCTTGCAGCCTGGTTCATTTTAGATGCCTGATATATGGGCCAGTATAAATTTGCAAGTCTGCTAACTAGTATAGGCGTTCAACACCAAAACTATTTAAAAACCTCAAAACCTTTTCATAAAAACAAAATTCCAGTTTGTGTTGAAATATTGTAGCAATCCCAAAGAGTCAGCGTCACCAAGGGCAACCCCTTGGAGACACTCTGTGTGACAGTTTGAGTTCACATTAGCAGGCATTCAGGGGCGGTGCGGGCCCCGCACTTATACGCAGAATGCAGTCTACCAGCAGTATATTTGGTGTGATGACCGTGCACGTCCACACGCTGAACTCTCACCACTGGGGGGTGCTTTTAGGGTGGCTGTGACTGGTAGGTGCCTGTGTGGGGTTGGGTTTGGAGCAGATGGCCTGTGCAGCTGGAGTGCTTTCTGCACCATGCATCCCCCGCCCTTAGAGTCACCGACCTGTCCTCTCTCCTTCGCAGTGAACCACATGAAGGTCACCCCCATGGACGCGGCCACTGCCTCACTCCTCAACGTCTTCAATGGGAACGAGTGTGGGGCCGAGGGCTCCTGGCAGGTGGGCGTCCAGCAGGACGTGACACACACCAATGGCTGCGTGGCGCTGGGGATCAAACTACCTCACACCGAATACGAGATCTTCAAAATGGAGCAGGACGCCCACGGCCGCTATCTGCTGTTCAACGGCCAGAGGCCCAGCGATGGGTCCAGTCCAGACAGGCCCGAGAAGAGAGCCACCTCCTACCAGATGCCCTTAGTCCAGTGTGCGTCCTCTGCGCCCAGAGCCGAGGACTTCTCCGAGGACCGCCGGGGTCACCAGTATGGGAGCTGGGCGCCCGGGAGGAGCGCTTGTCCCCTGCTCCTTGCTGTGCTCGCCGGCCTTTTGACTCTACCGCACTGGAATGTCCTCAGATAGAAGTTTTTAAAAAGCTATATTTTTCCAAACCAGGATTCCTTACAATTGACAGATTTTCTTTACAAAAAAAGGGCGCTGCTTCTTGTGATGCACTCGAATGCCCCAGAACTGTGGCTCCTTTTCTGCTGCCTAGCCCCCTCCCGCCCGGCCTGAGTCCTGAGCAGTGCGCTGTTTGAAGTTTCTGCTTTGAACTCTGGCCAGTGGGATCCCAGGCCAGGGCGCCTTCTCGAGAGTAATTGCACTTTAAGACCGCAGAGAGTGGCGGGCTAGTGTGTTTGGTAGAGGAGCAGGGTGACAGCTAAGTCCTCTTCTTTTCTTCCTCATAATTATTATTCTATTTCTGAGTTACACTTAGACGGATATCAAGCTCCAGCTTTTCCTGCCACTGTACTGCTTACTGTCCTCCCCTGAAACCGTGTTACGACCTGGAATCCAGTGCAGAGTTGGTTTGGGACGGCAATCAAGATACCTGTTATTAATAAAGAAGAGACTTGAGTGTAGATATGTATATAGGGAAAGACACCGGGTTTAGCTTAACCATCCTGACAGCCTTAATGCAAAAAAAGGAGGGAATCCCAGCTTTCAAATGTTGAGTGGAAAAGTATCTGTAATTAAAGTCTCAATGGAATTTAAACTATCGTTGTTTTAACTTGTGGGGGAAGGAGATTTGGTGAAATGCTGGTTTCTGGGTGGTTGTGGAATGTACGCTGCTTGATGACTGCTCGGCTGACGAGGGTGGTCGAGCAAATATCAAAAGCAGTACACACGGGAGCAGCGATGTATGGGAAGGTGACAGTGTGTCAAATGCCACCTGAATGATAAAAAAAAAGTGCCTGTTCATTCCACAGTTTCCTCTTCGTGGGACCCTCGTCCTGGCTCGTGCTGTATCTGGTGAGGGGTGAACAGACGGAGCCTTGCTTGGCCATCTGGGCTACCTTCAAAGATGACTATTCAGAGACCATGCTTTGCTGTTCAAAGAGTATGTATAGCGGGGGCATCCTCACTGGGGCTGCACTTGACCCTCAATGTGTGTGAAGCCCGGCTTCGGGAAAAGCCCCCTTATCACCGGATGCAACAGCATGACTCCGTTTCTGACCTGCTGTTGCCTTTGCTCTGTGGCTGCACAGGGTCTCAGGGTCACCTTCTGGAGAGTCCAGGAGCTCCTTCCTCACAGACACTGGGAGCGGGCATGAGTCATGTCTGCCCATTACTTTGGATTATTACAGATGGTGCTATCTGAACACCAAGTGGCACCGACGGAAATAGCAAGTCACCAAAAGCTTAGATGGAACTGGAAATGAGCATGGAAACCACGATCAAGGTTGAGAGTCATACTTGTGTTTAAAAATTAACTATGAAATGCTGCAGCATTCAGTGTGGTGAGAAGTTACCGGATAGTGTGGAGTACCAAAGTGCTTTATCTTTAGAATATATTTTAAGTTGTGGTGCATACTGCGGGGGTTTATTCAAATGAAAATACTAACTTAATGTCTGCCAAGTTTAATAAGCAAAGATGTCAAAAATACTCCCACAGAATACATTTTACCTGTGGATCTATTTAATTAACATTAATGCTATCTTTAAAGGATATAATAAAATTACGTGAAAAACTATGTTCACTGCTAAGGAATACCTCAGTGATTTGCCATAGAAGTGATAGGTTTATAGCCATTTAATTCACAGGCACTCACCTAGACTTAGCTACTCACACACAGACACATGCACACATGTATATCCAAATATATAGATATTAACATGTATATAATGTATGTGTATGTATATATGTCTTAGGGACAACATGACATTCATTCATGGGCTCGTATCACATTCTGATACACTGTAAATCATTACAGAGAATGGCCAATATAATTTACTCACAAATTATCAACACAATTAGATGTATGCCTGTCGCTTGCACTGTCACCCACATATATCACATCTTGTCTTGGTTATGTCATATTAACACAAATAAGGGTCAGTAAGTTCATGGCATGTAGCTCCACTTGTAAATACTGGGTTTGATGAAAGAAGTAAGTAAATAAAAGATGGCTCTTCTCGACCTCCCTGGCCTGGAGCTAGACTTCCTCTCTTCCTGGGTAGTAGGTTGATGATGGTCAGGGTCAGAGAGTTGCTCCTTGGGCAAACCTTGTCAACTCCAGGTGGACCTGGACTCAGAAAGGAGCTTCCTGGAGCCTCCAGTCACCCAGTACGGAACAAAGGTTAACTCGTGCAGACATTCCAATCTGGTCATCTGCATAGATGCCCAGCGCCTGTGACTTCCAGGTGGTGTCCATCCTGCTATCCTGAACAGGCCATCGTGGCATCCCGGTGTCGTGGCCACACACGCGGGTAACTCTCAGCAGCGCCCACCACCCAGGATCCCTGCGCGAGAGGCTGGGGCTCAGGGCATCCTCGGCAGGGCTTCACACACACCTTGTAAAAGCGACTGGAGCGTAAGTACCTGTGGTTCCTGGTTGAAGGGACAGCTTTCGCCAGAATAGAAGAGATTCTCCATCCCACCAACTCTTTAAATAGGTTTTGAAAACAAAGATGATGTTCAAAGCAGTCCACACACACATCGCAATGTTTCATTTTAAAATGGTACCCCCTCCCCTGTCCCTATGACTTGTCAGGCATGTGGCAATGGAGTGCAGCAACCAACCGATAGCATCTCACTGGGCTTTTCTGGACACCGTCCTCAAAGGAAATCACAGACCGTCCCCAGGTGGTGTTGGGGGAGCAGGGACGGTGGGTGGAAATACACGGAGAGTAGGCCCACTCTGACACGGAGAATTTCTCTACCTGACACAGATTTTTCTGGGCTTTTCGAGACATCTAAGCTTTTGTGAATCCAAACATCTTTCATAAGGATACACCTGCATCATGAACAAATAAAGGTAGCTTGGATAAAGGTTTCTCACTGATTTCTAGATTCTTGAGAAAATGTGTAAGCATTCTTTTCTTACAACTAAGAGAATCGTATGTCCTAAAGGACTAATTGAATCCTTTAAATCCCTATAATGACCCAAGAGTTTTTGGCTTGTAGGGTAAACGATCTCTGCATGTCTGTGGGGCTCCTATTTTATCACAACCCGTTTCCCCTGGGGTTTCGGTAGGTAGAAGTAACACTATCACAAGAAGAAAAAATACTGGGGAGGTTATGCCCTCCAACTTCTCCATTGACTGAGACCTGATGACGGGGACACTTGACACAATCACATTGCTCCAGGGGAGACCTAACTGACACCAAGTGGTATGCCACAGTATGCCACACGGGGCAAACCCACATCTCTACTCAAGTGCACGGCACACTGGACAGCAAGTTGCAGGATCTGACCGGTGGCCTCCCGTGCTTTCCATGGATTCATTTGGATCTCTTGGTTTCTCACATCCACTGTACAACCACCTCTGCGACCCCTATACCCTCTGGAACACCACCCAAGCAATTCCACGCCCCCTTCACTAAATCAATCTGGAGGCCAGTGGGTTTGTGAGCATAGAGAGCAACAATTTGTAGCCCCAGGCCTCCAAGCTTTGACAACCACCAGCTTCGTCTTTTTCCTGAGCTGGAGGGGCACCTGGTAGCTTTGTCCACTGCTCAGAAACAGCTCTAGCCTCTTTATTCCTCATGAAGTCTCTCCCTCTTGAGTGATATGAAAGGCTGAGAAAGATCCTCAGCAGATTGGGAATTGAAAACTTGCAGCATTTGAGGCTCAGGCTTTTTCTGCAGCAGATGAGGCAACATATGTAGGACAATTGAGAGGACTTGACCTTCAGAAAATCAAGGTTATAATAAACAAGCGAGGGACACTGTGTGGTAAGAAAGCTCATCTGCAGAATGTCTTCCGGTTCCCTAAATAACACAGTCCATGTTCTCACACGTTGGGTCCAGGGTAACACGTCTGCCCTGGAATCAGTTGGAAACACTGAGCTACCTCATTGAAAGTGAGATCTCTCATAGATTGAAAAATCGAAATATCTGTTGCATGTTGCAGTTTTATTCTCCAACTTATTTGGGAAGTGGAGTTATATCTGAGTCCCAGCATCACTTACGTGAAAGAGACGAGTTAATCGGCCTCATAGTATTCTCAACTCATAGCACCTAAGTAGAATATTAAAAGAAAAAAGTCCCTGAACAGAATGTATTGTCTTGAAGCAGAAGAGAGTATATTGCATTGTGTTAGAAGCAAGCAGCTTGGCAGAGGAAGCTCGCGTAGGCAAGAAGAGAGCGCTCTTCCACTATTGCTGCCTTGCCATCCCTGGAACTAAAAGGTACCTTAGTAACACATAGGCCTCTTTGCTTTAAAAGCCCTTTGCATAAATTAAGCTTTTGAAATGAATTCTCTCCCCAATATCAGATGGAGAGCACAGCAATACGAGTACTATGGTCCATTAAAAAAGGACCATTAAAAAAGCATTCGTTATAGAGTTCGCTGCCACTTACAAAGAAAGAGGAGCAGTCAGGATCCAATTCCAGTGGACATTTGTGTCCATTTTCAATGCTTTTTCCAGCCTTTGTCAATGTGAAGATCTAATGGTTTTTAATTATATGTATATTTCACCAATGTACAAATCAATTCTTCTTTCCCACTACATGTTCCAGATTAAATCTGACCCATTGTTAAAGTGTTTGTTAAAGTAAGGCTAGTGAAGACAGTATGGATTCCTTGGAAATTTTGGCTCTAGAGAAGACCAAAAAGGCATCACTAATTTTAGGTTCTAGATGATAAAGGTGAAGCTCTCTGGGGTCAGGGATTAGGGAATCAAAGAGTTGTTACGGAGCTGTTCTTTTCCTGCCCCAGAATTTCAGCCTGACTTTCTCAAGCACAGCAGCTGTTTCTTGAATGCACACTGTCTATGGCATCATAACTGGTTCTTCGCGTACATTATCTTGTTTCATCTTCACTACAACCTAGTACTTTACCGTTTTGAATTCTCGCAGGGAAATCCGGTTATGGTTTGCAGTGTGCTTGTCCTAACGCTGCACAAAGCCAGTTTTTCTTTAGGGACTTTAACACCCACCCTTCCAGAACATGCAGAGACACAGTGAAGCTGGTGAAGCATATGTTAGTCCCTGATTTCAGGGGAGAGAGTGTAGAAACTAGGGCGGCGTCAGTCTCTGCTTTTAACTTTGAGAACTCATTATATGATCATTACTCCCTGATCAGGCTTGGGGAAGCCGAGGGAGCCTCCTTCCTCCCAGAAGTCTTCGGGAACCATCTGGACAGAACAACCTGTGCCCTCTTTGCAACAAGTGGACATTTTCGACTTCCAAACATCAAGTCAGGCTTCAGTGACCCTCAGTTCCTCAGCCAACCCAAGATGATTCCATCCAGATCTTTCCTGGTCCAAGGTTTCCAGACCAGTGAGTGAAGGTGCCTTTGGGATGGGCTTCTGCACACACGAGCACACACTTGATATTTCAAGCTCAAGGGACAGATACTTGAGCAGCTCGGGTCAAGCTGGAGAGAGATTTAATGCACTCGGTGAAACTCCTGAGAAGAAGCATGTTGTGCAGTGTGAGGGATCCTCTGGGTGGATGTACGCATCCCAGTGTCTGCTCTC